ACTCACCTCAGCCTCCCAAAGGCGCGGGATTGCAGGCTGAGCCACCAAGCCCGGCTAAAAGTTCTTAGTTTTAATTATAGTATAGTAAGTGCCAAGAGATAGAACCCACATATACAAAAGTTCTTGGGGGTACTCAAAAATTTCTTAGAAGTGTACGGGGGTCCTGAGACCACAAAGAATGCTATCCGAAAAAGCAAAAACACAAATTACAAACTGGAGATGGCATCTGCAATCCTAACAAAGCAGATGAGAATTCCTGCCTGGTTGACCAGAAAAATGTGGCTCCACCAAGATAGGGGTCCTCACCCACCTCACCCACGAGCGCATGCAGGGCCACAGTGCGGAATCACAGTGCAACGCATCTCGGCAGATGAGATCCAGACCCGGCCACACCACATCCTGCAGGAGTAGGACCAGCCAGCAGTTGCTCACACTCGCTGGCGAATGTGCACTTCTAGTAACGTTGCAGTTTAGCAAATGGTTGAACAACCACTTGCTCAGTGAGCTACAACTTCCTCCCCACTACACACCAGGAGAAGCTTTCTCCTGGTGTGCTCTCGGTGCACACACTACGAGATGCCTGGGGTGACTCGATGTCCCCACAGCAAGCAGGTTCGGGGTGGTGCTTCACTTAATGGAACATCACACAGCAGTCGCAATGGATGCATTCTGACCACACACAGTGCTATGCAGATGAGTATAACAAGAATTACCGAAAATGAAGTCCCAGAAGACTGCATCTAGACGGAAGCTCTTTTTAGAAAGTTAAAAACAGTACAAATGCAATATCATTACCTTTAGAATATGTAGTGGTGAGATAAAAACAAAGGAAGGTCAGTGAGTCCTATGAGTGCTGGTGACCTCAGAGGGGAGGCAGGGCCTGGGGTGGGGCCCCTCCAAGGACCAAAGTCATTTTCAGGTTCTCAGCTCTCTTGGTGGTGCAAGTTTTCGTTACTAGAAATGCAGTAAAAAAAATTAAAAGGTCTGTGCACGGACAAGGGATAAGAACAGCCACGAGGCAAGAATGGCTAGGACTTGGATTCTGAACCCCAAGGTTCAACGACATAAAAACACCTGGCAGAAGAGGGAGATCCCAGGTCCTGCAGTCCTGAGACTTGTGGTGCTGGGACAGCGATGGAGAACATAGTTCTCAGCCTCTCAGTGCAAAGGCCGAGATGTGCTTGTTTTAAAGTAAAAATAAGCATGGGGCCAATCCCAAACTCTTATTTCAAGGTCAAAATTTAAGCCCAAGGGCTTTTACGGGGAAGATTTTTGAATTTGTAGCTACTCACTTATTGGTTAAGGATGATTTATTCTCTTTGTCCATCCTAGGGGACAGGGGCTTCATGACCAGAAGTAGGACCAGAAGTGAGCCATCTGCTGCCCTGGGTCAGAGTCTAGTCCGATGGCTGAGCAGAGCCCAGTGGCCAAACAGATCCCAATGACTAGACAGAACCCAGTGGCCAGACAGAGCTCAAGGGTTGGACAGACCTCACTCCAGACAGAGCCCAATGGCCAGACAGAGCCCAATGGCTAGGCAGAGACCAATGGTCAGTCTGATGGCCAGTGAGAGACCAATGGTCAGACGGAGCCCAGCAGGATGGCCAGATGGAGCCCAATGGCTAGACAGAACCCAGTCTGATGACCAGACAGAGAATGATGGCTGGACAGAGCCCAGTCTGAGGTCAAATAGAGCCCAATGGTCAGAAAGAGCCCAAAGATCAGAGCCTAATAGCCAAAACCCAGTCCAAAGCCAGACAGAGCCCAAAGGCCAGAGACCGATGGCTGGCGAGAGCCCAATGGCCAGGGCCTGATGGCTGGATAAAGCCTGATGGCCAGAGCCCAGCCTGACGGCCAGGCAGAGCCTGATAGCCGGACAGAGCCCGATGGCTGGAGCCTGGGCGCCCTTGGGGCCTCCAATATTCCAGATGGGGCCTAAGCAGTGACTCTGCTCCCTGTCCACACACAGCCATGCTGGTGCCCACGCATCGAGGGGCTGTGCTGTCTGTCACCTGACGCTCCGCATGCAGGGGCCCTCAGCTGTGCACAGAGGGCTCCTCTGGGGCAGCAGCCTCATGGAGTCCTAAACTGGTGTGGCCTGCGGGACAGTCAGAGGCCGCTGCTCACACTCCCAGCCACGCTCATGTTCAGGCTCACAGTCATGTTCAAGCTCACACACTCACAGTCATACGCTCATGCTCACAAGCTGCCTCTGTCTCTCTTCAGAGGGCTGTGAGTCACTCACCAGTTAACTCCCTCAGAGGAGCTGAATTCCCTGCAGGCGTTGCCGTGGTGTCAGGCCCTTCCGATATGTGAAATGCACCGCATTTATATTCCAGAAAGCATGGCCCAAATAACAATGACGACACATATGGCCAAAGCCTCTGCTCCCAGACTCGAGCTACCCCTGGAGCCTCCCCCGCAGAGGACGTTGAGGTGGACTGCAAAAGCAGCGCCCGGGTACCTTGCACACCGGCCAGCGGCTCTGCTCCCAGCCCGACATGCACAGGCCGCCCCAGTGAGCGCTTCTGGGCTTAACCACAAGGTGAAGACAGCCACTGAGGTGGCCTTAAAGGTAAAGGAGCGGGTATTGCAAGTCGCACACCTGCTGACACTCACCTCAAACGTGTTCCCAGTCACATCAAACTCCGGGGGGACAAAGGCACCCTCAGGGTCATCTTGAGGAAGGAAACAGAAGGCTTCCGGTCACACTCATGAAGCACAAACGAGCCAACAGTCTGCGGCCCTTGGGATCCTCCGGAAGGGCCAGGGAAGGGGCAAGGCTTGGGTCCCCGCCGTCAGACCCGGAGTGCCCGCGGACAGTTTGAAGCATTCAACCATGGTTGAAATCAGCTCCTGAGCCATAAATGTGGGAAGTCCGCTCTAATGTGGCAGGACAGGACTCTGCTGGTTTTCGGGAGAAGGAAGCCGGAGGAGCCAGCAGGAGGTCAGCCCAGGCCGCCCTGGAGGGAGCGGTGCCGTGGAAACAGCCAGCCCACGGAGGCAGAGGAGTCTCACTTTTGAGGGGCTGCCTTTACTCACTGCTGGCCCCTGAGTCAGCCCAGGGCAGATGAGGAGCCCAACCTCCTCTCTGAGAAGGCCTGAGCAGAGCTGGCGGGGGTCCCCTGGGGCGGCAGGCGTGCCTCCCAGCTCCCGGCCCATGGGGCCGCCTGTCTCGGGCTCGCAGGCTCAGGAACCCGTCAGGCTCCCAAAGGAACCCGGGCCGGCGACCCGTGTCCACTCGGGCCACCCGGGCTCCCCCGTCCCCCTCGCCGCCCCCCAGCCGCCTCACCGCTGAGCTGCTCCATGAAGCACACGTTCCCGCTGGCGTTGAAGGCCAGGGTGTCGGGCGTGATGCACAGCGTCTGGAAGATGGCCGCGTGGGCGATGCTCTGCATGCTCAGGCTGCACTCCAGACACACGGCCCAAGCCTCCTGCTCGCCGAGGCCGCAGTCCCGCAGGGAGAGGATGTCGGCCAGAGACACGTTCTCCTGCCAAGACAGGTCTCCGCGGTGAGCACGACAGGACCCCCCGCTCGGGGCCCGGCACCCGATGTGCAGACAAGCTCCCTCGCAGCGGGATCTCCATTATGGGTCGGGGAAGGGTTGAGACGGGACTCCTTTGCTTTAACAGCCTCTTCCCGCTGTTCCCTGGATGTCAGCGCCAAGGAACATTTGGTGACACCGTCAGCACGCTGCCTGGAGCAGGTGTCGGCTCACGGGGCCTGGGAACCGGGCCTTCCTCCCGGAAGCTCGGCTAGAGCCAGAGAGCGCGTGCCCTGCTGTGTCGCCTGCTTGCTGGAACACCCAAACCTTGCAGGCTCACAGCTCAGCCGGCATGTGGAGGCTGTGAGCATGGGACCCGTGGAGATGGAGTCCACACTGACAGTGCGCATTTGTACAAGTCCAACGTGGTGTGACCTTGATACGGTCACATGGTAGACAATCACTTGCACAGCCAGGATGGGCACAGGGCTGCCCAGACATTGGGTCCAAGCAGTTCACATGGAGGACACAGTCAGAGGGGTTCCTTCTGTGCAGCCAGACCGCCCAGGCCTCCCCCCTACCGGGCTCACCTCCAGAACCCGAGTGGGCTCCCTGTCTGCAAGAGCTTAGCTGTGAGCATGGTTGCCGCCAAAACCTACACAGGTGCACACCTACCCACCCCACCCACCATGTGCATGTTCACACTCAAATGTACACATGCTCCCACTCACACATGCACACTCACACACATGCACAAGCACAGCTACACACACACATACACATTCGCCTAACACACATTCACACACATGGGCACACACATACCCACCCACACATGCACACCCACCTTCACATGCACATTCACACACACGTCTACATACTTACCTAACACATACGCACGTGCACATACCCACCCACTTAACACACACATTCACACATATGCACACACATATACCCACCCACATATGCATGCTCACATATGTACACGCATGTATACACATGTATATGTGTACCCTCCTACACATGAATGCTCACACAGTGCACGCGTATCCATCTACATACTGCACACACACATGCACACACACCTAACACACATGCACACATATACCCACCTACACACTCACATCTTTACACATGTACACATGCACACACAGACACACACTCCCATACATGCATCTACACAGACATAAGCCACATATATACTCACACATGCACACACTTGTACACTAAGACACTGATACACAGGAATGTGTTGTGTACACTCACAATGCTTCCATCCATTTTCATACATACATTCATGCCATGAGAGCAATGTACTACAGATGACCACACTCACACATGAGTAATATTTGGTTCAGTTTCGCACATATGCACACATACACTCAGGCACATATATGTACTCACACACACCCGCACACCTATACTCACACAATCAGATACAATGCTACACACAATTACACACACACAAGAGTGCATTTTTTTAAAGTTGAAGACTCACTCTGCTGCCCAGGCTGGAGGGCAGTGGCACGTTCATGGCCACCGCAGCCTTGACCTGCTGGGCTCAGGCGATCCTTCCACTTTAGCCTTCCAAGTAGCTGGAACTACAAGTATGCACCACTGTGCCCGGCTAATTTTTTGATTTACTGTAGAGATGAGATCTTGCCAAGTTGCCCAGGCTGACTGAACCCATGAGGCAATCCTCTCACCTCTCACCTCGGCCTCCCAAAGTGCTGGGATTATAGGCGTGAGCCGCCGCGCCCGGCCATAAGTGTGCATTTGTACAAGGCTAACATGGCGTGACCCGGACACAGTCACATGGTAGACAATCACTTGCACTGCTGGGACGGGCGTAGAGCTGCCCAGCATTGGTTCCAGGAAGTTCACACAGAGTAAGCAGTCACAGGGGTTCCTTCTGTGCAGCCAGACCACCCAGGCCTCCCCCACACTGGGCTCACCTCCAGAACCCGAGTGGGCTCCCTGTCTGTGAGAGTTTAGCTGTGACCATGGTGGTTGCTACAGACATGCACACACATACCAGATGCCGTGAACTTCAAGGCCCTCTCCTGATCTACTGCTCCACGGCCCAGTCACCTCTGTGTGCCTGTGTACCTGTGCACCATCCCGCTGCTGGGAGGGACTAGGAGGTTCTGAAGGAGCTGGGCTGGGGGCTGGGGCCTGGAGGTCACAGGTGGGTGGTGTCAAGGGCAATGTGCCTTGGAGGAAGAAGGCGGGATGCAAGGAGGTGGAGAAGAAGAGAGGCAGAGTCCCCTCCTCCAGCTGGGCACAGGGATGGCTCTGGCTGACAAGCCTTGAATTTCCCCCACCTGCGGCTGGCATTGCAAGGCTTCCCCACAACCACAGGTAAAAGGATTAGGGTAAAAAGCTCCAACCAAAGACTGAAACAAACACACAAAAGGAACCAGGGCCCAGGCTCCCACTGTGGCTTGGCTAGGCCCAAGCCAAGGAGCTGGGTCTGCTTCTGCCCGTGGCCCTGATACATCCCACCCCCCTGTCTCCTTCTTGGGGGTCCTGGGAGGGGCTTGATGACATCACTTCTCAGGCCCTTCCCTTTTTTTTTTGAGTAGGAGTCTCACTCTGTCACCCAGGCTGGAGGGCAGTGGCACGCTCCCAGTCACTGCAGGCTTGACCTGCTGGGCTCAGGCCATCCTTCCGCCTCAGGCTTCCAAGTAGATGGAACTATAGGCACATGCCACCACGCTCAGCTAATTTTTTTGTATTGTAGAGATGGGATCTCACCAAGTTGCCTAGGCTGGTCTTAAACCCGTGGGCTCAGGCAATTCTTTCGCCTAGGCCTCTCAAAGTGCTGGGATTATAGGCGTGAGGCACTGTGTCCGGCCTCCTTCTAGCTCTTTCTACGGCAGGAATCTCCCTGCTGTGTTCCTGGGTTCCCTAATGATGAAAGGCCTTCCTGACTGGGGCTCAAACCTGTGACCTGCACTGTCCAGGACTCAGGACTCAGCAGAGTCAGCAGCTCCCAGAGACTCCCTTGGGGTCTGGCTAAAGAGGCACTTGGAGCCAGGCTCGGTGGCTCAGCCTGTAATCCCAGCACTTTGGGAAGCTGAGGTGAGTGGATTGCCTGAGCCCGTGGGTTCGAGACCTGCATGGGCAACTTGACGAGACCTCATCTCTACAATAAATCAAAAATTAGCCGGGCGTGGTAGTGCGCGCCTGTAGTTCTAGCTACTCGGAAGGCTGAGGCGGAAGGATCGCCGGAGCCCAGCAGGT